CTCGCGCACCCAGAAGTACACCAGTAACATCACCTACTACTTTGACAACATCAGCAGCACCGAGCTGTACAGCGTGGACCAGGAGCTGCTCAAGGACTACATCAAGCGCCAGATGTAAGTCCCAGCTTGGGTCCTCTGCTCCCAGCCAGCGTGGGGATGGGGGCCGCGCATGTGTCTGACCTCCCCCCTGTTGCCTTCGCAGCGAGTACTACTTCAGTGTGGACAACCTGGAGCGGGACTTCTTCCTGCGGCGCAAGATGGACTCGGGCGGCTTCCTCCCCATCACCCTCATTGCCAGCTTCCACCGGGTGCAGGCCCTGACCACAGACATCAGCCTCATCATTAAGGTGAGGCGCCGGCGCACTTTGGGGTGTGGGTAGGTCCGTGTGATGCCCTGAAAAGCGAAGCTGTGTCCTTCCTGGCGGTTCGAGGCACTGAGGCGGGTATGGGATCAAGGGGAGACCTGGGGGCCCAGGTCTGGGCTGTCTGCGGCTGCTGCGTCCCAGTAATCGTGCCGCTGCGGGGCTGGGTGTCTCCAGGCGCTGAAGGACAGCAAGGTGGTGGAGATTGTGGACCAGAAGATTAGAAGAAAGGAGCAGCCTGAGAAATGGCCCTTGCCTGGCCCTCCCATGGCAGACTACACGCAGACCGACTTCTCCCAGCTCATCAACTGCCCCGAGTTCGTGCCCCGACAGAGCTTCCAGAAGGAGACAGGTGGGTGGCGCGAAGGCAGCTGGTGGCACGTGCCCATGAGCTGCTGCAGGCAGACTGGGGTCGGGGCCGGAGGGGGTATTGTGGGGTGAGGGGAGCAAGCTGGAGCGTGCCGGGTCTGAAGGGCGTGTCCGTCTCCTGCGTAGAGTCCGCACCGGGCTCCCCCCGTGCCGCTAGCCCGGTGCCTACCAAGACGGAGGAGGTCAGCAACCTGAAGACGATGCCCAAGGGCCTGTCCGCCAGCCTGCCCGACCTGGACTCGGAGACGTGGATCGAAGTGAAGAAGAGGCCCCGGCCCTCCCCAGCCAGGCCCAAGGTGCTGTGCGGTGCTCGGACCCTGGGGGAAGCCTGGGGCAGTAGCTCTGGGCAGGCAGGGCCCTGAGGTGGCTCCTGGGTTTGGTTTGCATGGGCCACGTCTCTCCTCTCCTCTCTGCCCGTCCACCCAAACGCGTTATGGAGCCAGTCCCTGGGTGCCCTGCTTGCCTTGGGGCGGGGAAGCAGGGGGCTGGCTGAGGAGATGCTCCTGTCCTGAGGGGCTGGGCACCCCCAAAGCCCTGTGGGCTGTGAGAAGCCATGAGTGGAGGTCGGGCCTTGCAGCACCACGCTGCTGCCTTGTCTTACCTGGTACATCCCAAGGACAGAGCTGTGGGGCAGCCAAGGAGAGCTCAGCTGAGGAGCCTGGAGCTCCCTGGGTCTGGTGGTCTCCAAGCAGCCCAGTCCCCCACAGCCTTCCCCCCCTGCTCTTGCCCACGCCTGCAGAAAGCGGAGGAGTCGAAAACGCCGCAGAAGCAGAAGGACCAGGACGAGCCGGAGGAGCTGGACTTCCTGTTCGATGAGGAGATGGAGCAGATGGATGGGCGTAAGAACACCTTCACTGACTGGTCAGATGAGGACTCGGACTACGAGATCGATGACCGCGATGTCAACAAGATCCTCATCGTCACGCAGACGCCCCCCTACCTACGCCGCCACCCCGGGGGTGACCGGACCGGCAACCACACCTCCCGGGCCAAAATGAGCTCGGAGCTAGCCAAGGTGATCAACGACGGGCTGTACTACTACGAGCAGGACCTGTGGACCGAGCAGTTCGAGCCCGAGTACTCGCAGATCAAGGTGAGCGCCGGGCTGCGGGTTATCTTCGCGGGCCACGTCTGCACACTAGGGGGTTAATTCAATTTAGTAAATCCAGTGAAAACTGCTGTATGGACACTCCCGGCTTCTGCCCAGCACCCAGTTGACTTGGGTTTACTCCGTGCTGCCCTGCAGTGCGTCAGGCTGGCCTGGACTGGACGTGGGAGTGTGTCCACCCAGTTTGCAATGAGCTTCTTGGGTGTGGATGAGCCCTGGAGCCAGTGCAGTGAGGGCATCATATGGAGACGAGCCTGGAGCATGCCCAGCTGACAGGGCGCCCATCAGGAGAGCAGGGCCGACTTGGCCTGTAGCCTCCAGCCTTGGCGGGAGGGTGGTACGTGCGTGTCTGCTCCAGGAAAGTCCAGCTCCCAGGATGGGGCTCTTGGCTGTATTGGGTGGACCTGTAGGTCCTGGGAGCAGGAGGAGGTGCCAGTACAGGCTCTGCATCCTCTTTGTTACCTTTCTGCTGCAGCAAGAAGTGGAGAATTTCAAGAAGGTGAATATGATCAGCAGGGAGCAGTTTGACACCCTCACCCCAGAGCCCCCGGTCGATCCGAACCAGGAAGTCCCTCCTGGACCCCCCCGGTTCCAGCAAGGTAAGAGGTGCCATAGTCTGGGCACAGGAGAAGGTGGATGCGGCCTGCTGGAAACATGGCTTCTCCAGCACGTGGGCCCTGGTGCCTGGGGGCAGCACAGCGAGGAACTGGACGGACCTGCCAGGCAGGATGTGCCTCCTGAGCCTTGCGTGGTGTGCTTGGCCCGTCGGCTGTTGTTAGGGGCTCTGCGGTGGTGCCTGTGTTGTGCTCACACTGTATGCTCATGTGCAACCAAGGGCTCGCCCTGACCCTAACCCTGCGCTTCTCCCGCCAGTCCCCACCGATGCGCTGGCCAACAAGCTCTTCGGCGTCCCTGAGCCATCGACCATCGCCCGGTCTCTGCCAACGACTGTGCCAGAATCGCCCAACTACCGCAACGCCAGGACGCCGCGCACCCCACGCACGCCGCAGCTCAAAGACCCGACTCAGACACCGCGGTTTTACCCAGTCGTGAAAGAGGGCAGGACGATAGATGCCAAGGTGAGGGGTGCCTCAGGCCGAGGCATTGTGGGCCGGGTGCGACTCCTGCTCCATGCTGCAGTCAGAGCTGGCGGGGAGATGCCAGGCTGGGAGAAGAGGAGCTCTTACACCGCTGTCTCTTGCAGACTCCCCGCAAGCGGAAGACGAGGCACAGCTCCAACCCTCCCATGGAGTGCCACGTCGGCTGGGTGATGGACTCCCGGGAGCACCGGCCACGGACTGCCTCCATCAGGTGCGGCGGGGCAGGAGGCTGTGGGTGTCGCAGGCGAACTGGGGAGGGAAAGGCATCCTGCCTTGCTGGGGGTGTAACAAAACCCAGACAGGAGCAGTGCAGGGTTGGAGAGCTCCCCCTAGTATTATGCCCATGTACATTGCATTCCCCCTACAAGAGGCTGCAGCCACACTCTCAGCTCTGCTGGTGGGCACCTTGCAGGGAGTTAGATCCCCATGGCTCTGCAGGAGCTGGGTGGGCTGCAACTGCTTGCAGTGGCTAATGGGAGGTTCGGGATGTCGGTGAGCCCTGGGAGAGTGGGAGGAGGTTACCCTGCCCCGGGCCAGTGGCCTCTGATGCCAGAAGGGAAGGAGGCTTGACGGGGACCCTCCATGCTCAGTTCCAGCCCTTCGGAAGGGACCCCGGCCGTGGGGAGCTACGGTTGCACACCGCAGTCGCTGCCCAAGTTCCAGCATCCTTCGCACGAGCTGCTCAAGGAGAATGGCTTCACGCAACACGTGTACCACAAGTACCGTCGGCGCTGCCTTAATGGTGGGTGTGTGGGGCCCCCAGCGCTGGCCAGTGCATTGCACCGCGGCAGGCACGGCGCCCTCGGACCCTGATCTCTGTGCCAGAATGGCCCATGTCGTGGCGGCTGAGCCTGGCTGGGGGCTGCTGCTGGAGTGAGGTCCTTGGCCTTGCTGGCTGGGAGTTAATGGGGGAAGCTGCTTGTCACTGGAGGCTATGGAGGCCGAGATTCACCAGTTCTGACAAGAGCTTAAATCTATGCTTAAGGGATGGGTGTGCGGGCAGCAGAGCAGTCTGAGCGGTCTCCTCTGACATCCCTACAGCAGTGGTACTGGATGCCCGAGAGGATCTGACCAGGGATGGGTCACATTGGATGGGTCCTCTCTTTCCTCCCTCTGAAACCTCTGCTGTTTGCCACCATTGATGGCAGGGTGCTGCACGGGTCGGGCCGTTGCTCTGACGCAGTGGCACTTCTCATGGCTCTGGGTGTGCCCAGAAATGGCCATGGCTTTGGGAGCCAGGCAGCCCCTGTGCCCATCAACACGTCCCTGGCTGCTACCAGGGGTGGGGTGCAGCCTCTTTGGTACCCAGCACGGTCCCCTGACCCCAGCGGTCCATGCATCTGCCCCACATCCCAACATAACGGCCTCCCTTCCTGCTCCCCCCTCGCAGAGCGGAAGCGACTGGGCATCGGTCAGTCCCAGGAGATGAACACGCTGTTCCGGTTCTGGTCGTTCTTCCTCCGCGACCACTTCAACAAGAAGATGTACGAGGAGTTCAAGCAGCTGGCTGTGGAGGATGGGAAGGAGGGATACAGGTAGGGGAGACATGGGTCAAGGGACCTGGCCTGCATATGGGGGCAGGGGTGGGGACGTCTCTGGGGTAGGCAGCTGTCCTCATGCATGGAGAGTCGTGGGGGGTTACTGTTTTCTGCCCCCGGCTGCAGCACCGAGGCAACATAGCCGTGCATGGCACTCATGGGCCCGGGCCTCCTCTGCCTTGCAGGTATGGTCTGGAGTGCCTTTTCAGATACTACAGCTACGGACTGGAGAAGAAGTTCCGCCCGGACATCTTCAAGGATTTCCAAGAAGAAACCATCAAGGATTATGAAGCCGGTAGGTGGCTCTTTCAGCTGCTCCTGGCACGGCCATGGGATCCCACCAAGTCGGGTTTGCCTCCCAGGGGCTTCCTCTGATCACTTTTGAGGGGCAGTCACATGCTGCTCCATGTTGGCCAGGTGGGAGCAAGGACGGGCGAGCACCAGGGGCCCGTGAGGATCCGTGGGGCAGGACACAGGCTGTTGGGCTCTGTCCAACTCTGCAACCATACAGCAAGTGTGGGCTGCTGGTGCATGTTGCCCATTCGTGACAGGCTGTACCCTCACCTGGTCCAACCTAGGGAGGGTTGGACCCAGGATTTCTCAGCCCTCTCAGGGTGTCTAATGCCCCTCTGGGTCCCCACCTGGGGGTGGCATCACCTGGGCACTAATCAGGCGCGACCTGACCGGAGGTTGGCAGTCAGCAGGCTGTGGAGCCTGCTGAGGCCATGCTGACCCCAGCCTTCATACCCCTCCACACCACAGGGCAACTCTACGGGCTTGAAAAGTTCTGGGCCTTCTTGAAATATTCCAAAGCCAAAAATCTGGACATTGACAGCAAACTGCAAGAATACCTCAGCAAGTTCAAGCGCCTCGAGGACTTCCGCGTGGACGTGAGTATGTGGGCGGTCTCCTCCGTGTGGGGACATCTCAGCCTGGGGTGGGAGTGACCAGACACCTGCAGCAACACCCGGTGCGGCGTCTGGGCCATTGCGGGAGGGTCTGCTCTGCTCCTGGGCTGCAGGGGCCTAGACCCGGAGACTTGGAGCTGAGCTGTTCTCAGTGGGGGCAGATGACAGGACAAGGAGCAATGGGCTCAAGCTGCAGCAAGGGAAGTTGAGGTTGGATATTAAAAAAAACTTTCTCATAGTAAAGCCCTGGAACAGGTTACCCAGAGAGGTGATGGAGTCTCCATCTTTGGAGGGGTTTAAGACCCATGTAGACTCTTCGCTGGGATGCTGTAGGTGGGGCTGGTCCTGCTTTGAGCAGGGGGTTGGACTAGATGTGACCTGAGGCCCCCTCATTTTCTGATTCTATACCCTACCCCTGGTAAGGACGAGGCCAAGTTTGCCCTTTATCCCACATGGGGTCAAACCGGGAATCTGAAAGCACTCCATGCTTGAGACGGGGGTGGGGGATGCAGCAGGGGGGACATTTTGCCCTCCAGCTCCGTTAGTTGGCAGGCCAGTGGCTCTCCGGGACAGACGAGTCCAAGCCCTGTGCAATATAGCCTGCTGTGGCCCAGAGCCTCCATGCACTCCCCAGTCCGATAGCTCAAGATGGAAAAGAGGGTTCAAGACCTCCATGAAGGCTGCTGCAGAGGTCACGGGTGTGTGGGTGATGGAGCCAGGGGTGAGGGGTAGCCCAGGGTTGGGTGGCGGGCATGATAGAGCCAGCTGGAGCCCTTTCCTCTGGTGCCTGGAGCCCTGGGTGCAGGGGGAGGGGATCAAAGCTGAGCTGCCCCCAAGCAGCACTAGGCACGGCAGGGCCGCTCTGATGCCAGCGCCTGGTCTGTTCCAGCCGCCCATGGGGGAGGAAGGCGGGCAGAAGAGATACCCGTCGACGGCAGGAGGAGACGGGAGGAAGCGCTACCCATCCCAGTCTTCTAGCAAGCCGGTCAGCCAGCCCCCTGCCTCATCCGGCCAGCCCGCCAGAGAGGATGCCAAACCCCCGAGCCAGACAGCCCCGGCCACGGCAGCTGTGGACCCTCACGCGCTGGGGAAGTAGCGAATATCAAGCTGCTGCTTCCTGCTGGGCGAGGGGGGTTGGCGGGGAGCTGGACCGGGGAGGGGAGGAGTGAGTGAGTGAGTGAGGTTGGGGGTGGGCAGGACGGAGCGACGAGGCGGGTGCCTGTGAACCGAATCGAATCGGATCGGCTGCTTGGGGGAACCCTTCAACGCACTCGCGGCTGGACAAGACTCTCCACGCCGAAACCGCCTCTGCTTGCTGTACGTCGCCGGCCGGAGCCAGACCCCCACACTTCAATGTCTTAGCTTCTTTCTTTTTTTCCGGGTGGGTTGGGAAGAGGGAGAGATGTTTTGGTTTTTTTTTTCCCTTTTTTATTAATATATATATCAAGTTTTAAATTATTGATCGAGGTTCGTCGGGATGGATTGCCACCGCTCAGCTCCACGCAGCCCCTTCCCACCCCCCACCCTGCCTCCGGCCACCCCTCGGCCCAGAGGAGTGAGATTTCCACCCGCCCCCAGGAGCGACCTCCTGGCTCTTCTGGGCTGGCTGCGACCCCGTGGAGCCCTGTCACCGTGAGCAGGCCGGCGCCTACCCCTTCTGGGGCTGCAGTGGATCCAGAGCATCACCCCCGGGGTCGACCTCTCCTCCCCTCGATTTTTGCCCTTCCTCCACAGACACTTGGAAGTCAACCAAAGGAGCTTTGCCAAGCGAGGGCTGCCTCCCTCCGAGCTCGGCTGATGCCTTCCACGCCCGGACTGCAGGCAGGGGGGCCGGGAATGCTGCACGGAGCCCCCTCCCAAAGTGCCGCCGGGCATGCACAGAGACGGGCCTGCGCCCAGGCGCTTTCTCTTCCTTTCGCTTAATGACTTGCACGTGGAAAACCAACCAACCGGAGCCCCCGGACTGTGGGGACTCTTCTCCCTTTGCTGCTTCCTTGGAAATAATTATTCAAAACAAACAAACAAACAAAGAAGTTGCCTTATGGTGGAGCTGGAACTCGGAGACCTGCCGGCTCCCCTCCCCGACGCCAGCCGGGACCCCTCTTCTTCCCCGCCTCCAGCCGAGAGGCTCATTGCGGGGCCGACGGGCAACACCCTGCGATGCCACTTTTGTGGCCTCGGGGAATGTGGCGTCAGACACACGGACGACCTGGCCCCCGTTGCAGCCCGGCTGTGGGCCTCGCTCCTGGCGGAGGCAGCGTCCTCCAAGACTTGTGCTATTACGTAGTGGATGCTGATACACGTATATACTGTTGTAGTGCCCTCCCTGCTGTCGCCTCGCTCAGACTCACAGGGTGACTGCCGTTGTCTTTCCCCTCCCACCAGCCCCCTAGGCAGGGGCATCTCAGTCTGTTACACTCATGCTGGGAGGGGGGGCACTGGGAGATGCAGCTGTGGCAGGTGAACGACTGATTCCTCACTGCGGAGGAGAGAAGCCCCTGGAGCAGGTGACCGGTGCCACACATGCTGGGCAGAGGTAGGGTTGTATTGAAGGTGAGTCTGGAAGGTGGCTCCCTGGTTTCTCCTGCAGGTTTCCCTGGGTGCACAGGGATTGTGTCTACCCACCCATCCTCTCCAGGGTTTGGGTCTGTGCGGTCCAGCCGGGCAAGGCAAGCAGGGCTGCCGTGTGCTAGCCTGAATGCAGCAGGAAACAGCTGAGGAGCAAAGCTGTTCAGGGATCTTGGACCAAGTGACTGAGCCTGCCAGTGGTGTGGTAGAAGAGAGGAATTGCCCCCAAGGCAAGCTGCATGCAAGCTGGGGGACTCAGGCTTCTGGTGCAAAGGTGGAAGTGGCTTCCCCTGGTGCCGTGTGCAGGGGAGATGCTTACATGACCCCAGGCTCTGCTTCCATCCACGAGGGCCAGGGCTCTGCTGTCAGGCGTGTGCCCTGCCCGCTGTCCTTGCAAAGCACAGGAGGCTGCTCAGTGAGCGGGTACTGGGACGCCTCAGGTCTGGAGGGTGCAGCGTACACCTACCCGTTTGCAGTGTTTTAAGAGGGTAGCCGTTCACCTCCCACATGTTCCACGGTTGGGGTGCTGCAGCCCGCGCGGGGCTTGAGTCTGCTGCTTTGTATGGAGGGACGTGAGAGTTGCAGGGAAGAGTCACTGGAGCCCAGAGGAGAGCTGGGCCCAATGTGCTGGGCAGGGGCTCCCGAGCAGCTGAGGGTTTGCTTGTGGGTCTTGTGTAGCAGGAGGCAGCCATGAGCAGCCTGTGGACCATGCTCAGCAAAAGATGCCACTCAGACTGACCCTGCACAGGAGGTGCTGCTTTTGCGAGGGAGCCAAGGCCTGGCAACACTAGCCTGCAGTTGGTACTGCTTGAGGGCCTGGTGTCCATGTACAAGCCTCCTTGGGCTTTGGGGCAGCAGGGCTTCCCTGTGTGGGGCCTGGTTTCAAACCTCCTCTTAAATCCTGGAGGGTTGGAGCCAGGTGGGGAGGGTGAGTCTGGAGCAGCAGGAGGTTGTCTGGAAGGTCATGCATTCTCCTTCCACCCAAGCACCTGCCTCGTTGCAACCGAACAGATTGGACACGAGGAGCCGGTCCACTCTGGCCATCGTTGCTGCTGGGCAGTAGGGCCAGAGACGGTCCAGGGGACCCAGAAATCCAAGCTGATTCTTTTGAGGTTAGAGTTTTGTGGGCTTTTTTTAATCTGCCAGGCTTAGACCCTCTCAGATTTCAGCCCAGAGCATCATCCTCTCTGCACTAACTCAGCGAGTGGTCACGCAAATCAGCATGGGTGGGTGGCCAGAAGCGAGGTCCCAGCTATGGCACCACAGCCCTGATCCACAGGCCATTGAGGAATAGGTGGCTGTTGAGTCGGGTATTGATGGGCTATGTCTTGCATTGCTGCAGAAAAGACTAGTGGAGGCAGGGGAGAGATGGATGTAACTGGTAGAAAGAGGCGGCTGCGTTGCCTCCTGCAGACTGTAAGAAGCCGAGGCTGTTGAGCCCTGTTCTACCCACTGCTCGAAAGCCAGCGTCTGCATTAAGGGGAGACAAGACGGTTCTGCAGGCACAGCCCTGTCCTGCCCCACTATATAACAATGTATATAGAGAGGAGATGGCACATGCCTCGGAGGGGAGAGGGGTGCCGCTTTGGCAGGAGAGGGAGCAGCAGCAAGGCTTCCCCGGGAAGGAGCGTGGCTTTTCTCCTCGCATGGGGCTGTCCGTCGCGACCCTCCTGCCTTGCTCGGGCTGTTTCTGAGGGGTCTGTGCCTGTCCGGTTCCACAGCTTGGATTCCTGCGTCCCACGGCCCCTGGCTCAGCAGCAGCTGTTGCCTCCTGTCTTCAGGCAGGCCCGAGCTGAGGTTGAGCCAAGGAAACGGTTTGCAAAGCAGAAGCCGGCTGTCCTCCCAGCTGCCCCGGGGAGAACGGTTGGCCGATGCCGTTCCCAGGGGTTTTCTCTGGGTGCATAAGATCAGACACGTCTCCTGTCCAGGGTCCGGTGCATCGAATGCCATTCTCATAAATGCTGGCAATTGTGACCGGGTCCAGACCCAGTGGCTCGGGGCCATCTGTTGCGCCTCTGCTTCCGCGCGGGGGGCTCGTCGCCCGTAATCATTGGATTCCACAGCCCCTCCTTTGCTTCTCGGTCGACCGTACTGTAACAAAAGGTATCCGATGCCTTTTTGCACCACCCCGCCGTACTCCTGCGCACGTGCGACGCCGCAGAGGGGAGCCTTTCCGCTGTTAACACCTCTCGGATACTTGGTTTCGTTTTCTCAAACCACAACACAAACCCCACCCGTGAAGACCTGTACATGTCGCAGATTGTGCTTGCAGCGTGCTCTTTCCTCTGTGCGTCTCTTCTCCAAGACTTTGGTTTTGTCAGTAGCTCACTTCTTCCAATCAACGCTAGGCTCTTCGTAGGGAGAGGGTTGCTACACGTGATGGGAAATGCCTCGCTGGCTCCGTTGAGTTTTTGTTTCTGATCCCTGTAATGCAAAATGAATTTTTTTTTTTTTTTTTTTTTTGGAAAAGCATTTCATCTCAGTGATGTGGATCGGGTGGAGTGACATACGTGTTTTTGTTGTTTTTTTTTTTTTAAATCCTAGAGGCAATGTTTCAAAGCGTAGTTTACATCTTCACTTTCTGAAGACACTTGAACATAGGACCGATGTATCTGTGACAAGCACACCTTGGTGTTGGAAGCTCCCGAGGGGTGGGAAAAGGGCACGGGCTAAAGCCCCTCCGTTGTCCGCTTTCGTAGCCCTTTCCGTGTCCGGTTGGGCGTACTCTGGTGAACCTCCCCTTTCCTCAGTGCTACATTCCCACTTTGCACCACCCCAGAGCATCAGTCTGGTACAGCATATTGGCTTGTGCCAACGCCATCCTTCGTGGGAGAGCAGTTGGCGTTGCTTCCCTCCCGACATAGCATTGTGTGCCTATGGAGAAGGGCAGCCGACCTCTCCCGTTCCTTAGCCCCTTGTTTTGCTCCCCGGAGAAAGGTCCTGCACTTAGGGTGGCAATTCCTATGCCACGCCACTGTGACTCGGATGCTGAGCTCGACTTGGGGAGGGTTTGTGGGGGGGGGG